AATTGATGATCAAGCGGACGAGGTGTGGCGGTGGGCAGCATGGACAACAAGACATATGAGAAGCAAGGCATCACACATGGGCACAAGAGAAGCAGCGGCGGGACACCAAACAACAGGAGAGGATATAGAGACAGCAGGGGGGCAGTATTGACACAACAGCATGAACGTGCGTACCTTTTGTGTGGAGGTGGCAGGCGATTTAGATGGACAAACGTTGGAAGCCAGGCTTCTCAGCAGACATGAGTTGATGTAGCCCGTGGCGAAGAGGAGCACAGGAAGAGCGAGGAACCAGGCACTTCTCAGCAGGCAAGCACAGGAGCTCCACTGCCGACGCAGATGGGGAGAGAGGAGAGAGTGGCAGCAGATGGCAGATGGCAGCAGGCACTTCGCAGCAGTGAGGTTGACAAAGCACCGCAACCAGGGGAGAACAAGGCTGTGTGAGAAAGAACAACGCCTCAAGAGGAAACGGAGAGGAGATATGCTGGCAGGGGTAATCGGCGGGATGGAAAAGCAGAAACAAGATGCTGGATTCCACCTCAGAGAGCAAAGCGAGGGAAAAGCGGGGAGAGGAGGATAGAGGAGGATGATCGAGGGCGGACAGGAGGGAGGCATGCTACGTCCCGAGGTGTCATGAGCCATGCATGGCACGCGCTTTGCAACCCATCGCGCAGCACGCCTATCCTCTAATTCGCGCCGCACGTCATTCCCTCGTTCGTGCCGCACGCCCATCCGCGCATACATGGATTAGTCGTATGTATTCATCGCACCGTTCGCCTATCTCCATCCCATTCGCGTGTCCGTCCCCGTCGTTCGGCGTCGCTGTTGCACGTCCGAGTCCAGCCCATCGCGTCCTACCGACGAGCACCGCACAGCACCTGCACTCGCCACTTGCGTTGGACACATGCCGCACCACGGAGCTTCAATATGAGTGCATGCACGGATGAGTTCGACCGCGAGCGCATATGATTCAACGGCGACGACGCCGCTCACGGTGCCTGCCGCGCTGCGCGCCGTTCTGGCTTGCATTTGTTCGCTCGGGACACAGAAGATTTGCGCATCGATTTGTCCGCCCCTCGCACGACCACAAAACGAGCATCAAAGGCTCGGAGGGAGCACCACGTGGCGTAATCACGATCTCTCGTGATATTAGCACGTGGGATGGAGGTTCGGGCGATTCAAGGGATTGGAGAGAATGCGGTCTCGGGGTGGGTCACTCGTTGGTAACGCGATGCAATCACTCGCCGAGATTCGTTCGACGCGACGCTAACTCCAGGTGAGGTTCGGATTAAACGACGACGACGGAAGACTATTACGAAGCGCTCGCTAGTCCTAGTCTCTCTGCTCGTCAAATCTGACAGGAATTGACTCGGTTTAGGTGTGGCCTAAACTGGGGATCATGAATGCCTATCGAGATCAGCGAATTCTGGTGAAAGGGAAAACAGAGTGTCCCCGAACAGACACTTGTTCGTCAGGCTCAAAAGGGTGAGGCCGAACTTTTGCGAAGCCCGATGCTGAACAACGCGAAACAAAGTCTCAGCAAATGAATCGTGTTCGTGATGTGACAAAGCGTTACAAGTGATATCAGCTCGAACCGAACCCAACCGAGAGAAGAGTGAAGTGATGCAAAAACTCATCGGGATTATCTCAAACGGTTATGTGACTGCAGCGAAACGACGGGACAACATTTTATCAGGCTACTAGCAACGGAGACAGACCTATTCAAGCCAGGGAATCGCCGCGCATCGCTTCAACCACTCTGTTCGAATGGACGATGTGGATGTCAAAAAGAACCGGCGGTGTTCGACGAGACCGAGCGTGAACAGATTCATGTCTTCGTTCGTACATTCCAATGGTCCCAATGCTGGTCATTTGCATCATGCCTCTCGTGCTCGTCCGATCTTTCGCATCGATCGAGGATTTTCAACCGCGCGACCGCCGCCATGCCTCGTCACGATGACGTGAAACTCACCTGCAATGTGCTGCCATCCTGCACTACTTCGTTCGCGTCGCACCTCGCCTCGCTCACGCTACACCTAACAGGTTTCCCTTTGAACGGAACTCGCCCCGCCGATTCTTCTAGCATCGGGTACGTTCACTCTGCCATGGTACACACGCAAAGTTCAATCCGTTCAAGCCTCACAACACTTTCGATCCTTCCCTGGGTCGCCTCACTGGCATACACCACCATTTATGCTGTCATTCTACTCTCCTCATCTCCCATCAGTGCTGCCACTTTCCGCTCTCGGTTCCAGTGCTTGCGATTGCTCGTATCTCTGGTTAGTAGAGAGTGGTTTCTTCTTCTCTTCATTCAACTGTTTCCTGTCCCGTTTTCTGTTCTCCTGTGTCCTTGTCATCATTTTTACTCATCGATATCTCATTCCTTTCACTAAACCAGAGGTAGGAGATCTGTCTGAGCGCAAGCATCTTTGATTCGCAGCGACCGATAGAAGGAAAAGAGGAGACGATGGAAGAGATATTAGCTTTGAGGGCAGAACTGGCATCAACTAAAGAGGAGTTGGCATCAACCAAAAAAGAGCTGCAGTCGACCAAAGAGGAGCTGGCAGTACTGAAAGGAGAAAACGAGGAAACGAACTTACGGATAATATTACGGGTGAGGGAGTAAAATGGTAACAAGTTTGTATGGAGGTGAGTGTTGCAACAGATCAGTGTGTTGTTGGGTTGATCAGCGTACAGGTGAGTGCTGCGTTTCTTGCGTTCTCTTTCAAACCGGACGTTAAGCAAGGAAATGATGTGTATCGGTTGTGCCTTTGTTTTGTGTTGCAGCCCATCAACTGTACATCAGATGACCCCGAGCTGCATCTTAGAAACGTCAACCTCTTAAGTGACATCATGGACTTCATCAGCACTATGACTCATCTGAAGAGCATTGACCTTGATGGGTCGTCCGGCTTCAGCGTCGGCATCAGCCACCTCTGCAGGCTACCACATCTTGAGAAGCTGAATTTGGGGGAGACTGACATACTAGACAACGGGCTAGAAGGCATTGATGCTGCAGGCAGCCTTACGGAGCTGAGCCTCAGTGGCACGGATGTGAGTGCTGCTGGCCTGCGCCATCTCACAAGCCTTTCTTCACTCAGGAGGCTTGAACTTGACTACTGCTTCTCTGTAGAATCTGCTGCCATGATGTTTGTGCGCTTGCTGACTGGCCTTGAGGCGCTCCTCCTTGGTGGCACAGCGGTGGGGGATTATGGGCTGAAACTCCTGACCTCCCTGGATAGGCTGAAAGAGCTCTCATTGCCTCGTGGGGTTACTGATGTTGGCATGGAGCATGTCATGTGGTTGACTGCCCTGGAGGAATTGGATCTGTGGGATTGCACAACGATGACGCAGAGAGGCCTGGAGTGCTTGACGAATTTGCCGAGTTTGAAGTGAGTTGTAACACCGGGCCAGAGATTTTAAGCAGTTGTGTAGTGTCTGCTTTCTTGAGAGTTCAAGTAGGTGGCCAATAGCCATGCTCGTCTTTACGCATGCAACTTTGCGTGGCGCAAGAAGTCCAAGGGATTACTGCAGAAGTGTGGATGTAACGGAGGAATGCAGCTTGGCAAGTATACATTAGGTGAATTGTCATTGGACCAAACAGCAGTTGCACTCTTGTAATTTCATGATCATTGTTGAAGGCTGGTACGGTTTAGGAAGAAAGATTTATAAGAAAAAACATACTTCAGTTGTCACAGGGTGTGTGAATCGCACCACTCCACACCACATTATCCAGGTGCCAGCTAGTATTGGAGTCGATTGAGGGCAGGTGTGACAGTTACATACGAAGTTGCAGATTGTGTTTTCGATCAAGCAGCCATTGAGACGAGAAGGCTGCAGCAGACCAGCCACACAACACAGAGACAGGAGCACGTGCTACGTCTGCTAGAGTGGAAGGGCACAGAAACATCTGGTCTGGAATAAGGGATAAGGAGGATAAGAGACGTTATAATGGATACGGTAAGTGAATTGCATTGAGCATGTGAATATGGGTGCATATGTAGATATGTAGGCGCAGAGCAATAGGGGTGCACGTGCAGGACATTGTTATCACTGGATACACGTGAACGGAGTTGACCACATGGTTGAATTTCCAGAACCCCCCACTTTCCCCCTCCCCCCACTCTTTCACCCTCACATCACTCCTGCCTCTTTGGTGTGCTCGCGGGGGCTCCTTTTCTGTTGGTGGATGAAACTTCAAGGAACTGCGACAAAAACTAGGCACGACAACCTGCGCCCTGTACTATGGAGTGTGAATCAAAGAGAGGAACGGGAGGGGAACGGGGAGTGGGGCGTGGATGTTAGGGGAAAGAGACACGGAAAGCGGGTCAATGAGAGGTATGAGGGAGGTAGAGGCGTGTGTTGGGGTATGGGAGACATTGAGGTGCAATCACGAGAGGGGGAGGGGAGAAGACGGGGAGCGAAAGATTAGGGGAAGGGGAGAGAGGAGGGAAAGGGGAACCACAACGTCATGCAAACACCATGCAAACCATGCACACACCATGAACACACCACTTAGTACTTTTACTTCGAGACTTATCAAGTCCTGGTTTATGCCGCCTTACAAAGCAACCCACCCGCTACACTTAGCTGAAAGTTTTACGGAGACCACATGGCTTGCTGCGGTTCGAATCCATTCTTTAATATGCACACACCATGTGCACACCATGAACACACCACGCACATGCACACATAACACTCACCCATCCATCCATCCACCCACCCCGCTCACCATGGGTGTGCGCATGTTATGCCTCATACTCCCCAAAACGATGCACCTCGCAACACTTGCCGCCTGAGATGCTCATCCTGCCCCAGTGTCTCTGGCAGTTCGTGCCGTATGCCCACCAGTACACTGTCAGCATGAATGCACATGAGATGTTTAAGAGTGGGAGGAGGGTGGGAAGGCATGTTGCATGGGCGAGGGGCAGGGGGACAAAAGCAGGGAAGTAATGGACGCCGCAGGCATGAGCATGCAAACACAGTGTCCACACCAAGGCACATTAGCTGAGTGTGAGAGGGAGAAGTACGGGGAGGAAGGACGGGAGGAGGGAGGAGATGGGGGAAAGGAAAAGGTAAGGACAACAACAACGAAAATGTAAGGGATGCAAGGACAACAACGGAGACAGGCGTGAAGGGCTGTCAGCTCCAACGCACATTAAGGGAGCATGAGAGCGGGAAACGGAGAGGAACATTAGCTACTCGACACATGTGATACATCATATACACAGCACATGCTGAATGACCACAATACCTACTTGCTATTGGAAATGTATCTGCACGGGGAAAGACGGGAACACCCAAAACAACAGTCTATTGCCACTGTGAACGTGTGTAAGTATTAGGCATGAACATGGGCCGGGATGGGGTCACGCATGCCCGACCCGGGCCAGCTTGTGGAATAGTCGGCACGTGGCCTGGAATATGAGGCCAAGGCGTCTGGCCCGATCTGTGCCAAGGCCGATCCTGGCTTGGCCCGCCAGACCTCCTTGCCAGCTCCCATACACACACACACACCCCTGCTCACGCCCGCACTTCCCCCTTTTTATCCTTCCAGCCCCGGTTCCCCTTGTAGCGCCCACCCATACCCCTGTTGTCGTGCCCAAGGCGGTGGCTCGGGTCGTGCGCATCACTGGCCAACCCGAACCAGTTGAGACGTGGGGAGTGGACAACTAGTAGGGAAGGCCGACAGTGCCCATCAATGCTCCCTTACAACCGTATGAATGTCTCCATCTTCTCAATTTCAAAAATTGTCTCGCAATTCACAATAACAGATGCAGCACATCTCGTTTTGCCAATACTGCCGCTCAGCACCGCCCCTTAAACCCGCCGCCATTAACCCCCATGCACATATAACTGAATGCCCTTCTGTGCTACATCAACGTACAGCAGATTCGTGGTTTCCTTGCTACTCGTGGCGAGGCCGAAACGCACGTCCTCCAGAGGCAACTGTCGACCTTGGACAGATGATGTCCCTTGCGCTGACCTTGGACAGGTCAGCACAACGGAGCTGCTTCTGACGAGCCCGCCTTCCCCCGTGCAGATGATGTCCCTTTGAGGGGTGTCCGAGCGGCAAATCTGCACTCCCACCCGCCACGTCTGACCAGGATAGAAAAACTGGGGAACGGGAGATAAAGGGAGGGAAGGGGAGGGAAAGTGGAGGGGAAAGGGGAGTGGAAGAGGGATTTGGAAAGTTCCACCTCAGATCATGCTTTCACACTATGCGCACCATGCACACACCAGGTAGATTAGGCATACGCGCTGGGTCATGCATGCATTTAGGACAGATCAGGCACAGGGCAACCAATGGATGGCCCTTCGCAGACAAGACTGCATCAGTGGGGAAGTAGAGGGCAGCATGAGAGGGTGAGTGACTTGCTGGCTGTCGGTGTCACATGGAAGCTGCACGAGGTAGGCAGAAAGGAAGAGAAGAGAGCACAGGTGCATTCTGAGACATGAGGTACGGAAGGACAACTACCTTGGGACGGCAAGAAACACATATGCCATGGTAGTGACGGTCATAATGGTAGTGGCGGTCACTCTCACATCTTCTGCCACTGAAGCACGCCAACAAGGATCTCTGCCACGTGGCATCATGCTGATGACAGCAATGGCAGCACCGAGAAGGAGGGCGATCACTAGCCCTGGCAGCGGCATGGCGACTGCAGTCATCCGAGCCATGGCTGATGGGGCGAGCCCAAATGTAAGGAGTGGGGCTGCACAGAGAGGTGCTGCAGGGGCAGGGGGAGGAGGGGACAGAAAAAGAAAAAGCAGGTTCTGTACTGGCTGAATGCACAGAGGTGACAAGACGAGGCAAGGGATTGATACGGGTGAAGCATATAGCCATGGTAGTTACTGATTATACAAGTGAGCATATGGACACGGTATTGTAATATAACTGCTGGGGGGCCGACGAGATGAGATTGGCGACTAGCGTAGGATTACATGAAAGCCGAATGATAGTCAGGCTGAAAGGGCAGGTTGAAGTGCAAGGCTTGGGTGACGAAACACCAAAACAAACCCAAACCCATACTGGGAGGTCTGAATAAAATGAGCATGGTGAGGTTGTGGTAGAGTATGTACGTACGGAATCAGAGGTACGGCGATGATGGATGCTACACAACAATTGACCTCAGGTCTGGGTCCTTGCTGCATGGACGGACGACGTTGGAGAGAGAGAGAGACCACGAGGGGGAGACACGAAATAGATGGAATGGACGTGAATGAAGGTAAATGGGCATGGGAAGGGCGAAAGCAAAGGGAGTGGGGAGGGGCTGGAGGAGTAAGAGCAGGTAGAGAGGGTGGCAGAGGGAGGTAGAGGGAGGGAGGAGGGCTGGAGGAGTAAAGGGAGGGGAAGGTTGGGGGAAGGGGAGCAGGAGAGGGAGGAGAGAGAGGGGGATGGGGAATACACTAACCGAATACACTTGTGAAGGAGAAGATGAGATTGCGACTAACTAATGGCAGACGCGGCATATGAAGCTCAAAGGAGCCTATGACTAGTTTCCGTTCAGAATGGCAGCAGGAGGGGCGGGGTGGAGGTTGAGGGGGGAGGGTAAAGTGGGGGGGAGTGGGGGGCTGAATGGTAGCTGGGCGAGTGATGAGTGCGGGCAACGAGTCTGGCAAGACGGTCGCACGAGAGCAACGCGCGAGGCACTGGGAGGGTAAGGAGAGGTGGGATAGGCATTTGATAATCGAATAAAGAACATTTCAGGTCAGAGGAGCAGCAGGACGCATCTAGTACCCTGGTGGGCCGTGGCAGCAGGCTGGGCCGTGGCAGCAGGCTGGGCCGTGGCAGCAGGCTGGGCCGTCAGCACAGGAGAGAGGCCGTACCTGGAGTGCGTGCAGGTGTACCGAGTGGCAGCAATGAGCTGCCAGCTACCAGGCGCTTTCGCCCGAGGCTGCCGAGCGGGAGAGCAAACGAGAGGCGAGGGCGGCGCGAGGGAAGCGAGGGAGGGGCGAGGTGACCAGAGGTGGCGATTGGCGGCAGTGAGCTGCCAGGCACCAGAAGCGCTATTGAGGAGAGGGATCAAGGGAGGGCGGAGGTTACCAGAAGTGGTAAAGTAAGTGCACGTAGAAGATATGGCGGAAGGAAATCGGGTAGGAAGCAAACAGGTAGCAGTAGGAATAACGGACGTCGTGCAGTGCAGCTGGGAGCTGGGCTAGGGATGAGGGACGAGGGCCCAAGAGAAGAGTGAATGTGGAGCGGAGGACGTGGCGGGGATGAGTGAAGTGTGCGGTGTGGCGGAGGAGGCAATGGACCACTCGCCTTGCCGTCGCACCCGTCTCGCGCCCTTCGCCTTCGCACCGCGGCAAATGCGGAATCACTCTCCGCGCTGCACCCCTCGTTGCACGCCAATTTGGCGCGGACGAAGCAGGCGCATTTCCCTTTCGCGCCCGTTTCTCATCCCGGCGTGCGTGTATACGTTCGGTCGTGCTCGCTCCGCCATATCGAGTCGCTTCCGATCGGCCATCACTATCATGGCACATAAGGAAATCGTCGCGTCGCCCATGGCTTTTCAAAACATTCTCTTTCGCGACCGCAGCTAGCCATTGTTGGGATCGTGGCACCGGATACGTGCTTGCGTCGGCAAGCATCATGTCGCGGCGTCGACTCCCGAGGACGCAATTTACTAAATTCGAGGGTATATCCTAAATTCTGGCTGTCAGGAAGCACAGGCAGCGTAGCTTCGTCTCGTGATGGCCGAATGCGACGCGATAGAGGCGAGGATAGCCGCGTGTATGGAGCATGCATGGCGACACCTGGAGATACGAGCGGAGCCTCGTGAGTGTGCTTGCTCGCACGGCAGCAGTCATCCACGCTCTGAAAGAAGTGCATGGCATGAGTGATGGGGGGAAAGAGAGGCGTGAAGGGGATGGAAGTGCGTTAGGGCTGGAGGGTTGAATCTGGATGCGCGAAATTTATTAGGGATGAGCACTTTCGCCAATTAAGTGTAACCTGAAACAGCTGGTGGTCAAAAGCTCATTCTTCGCCTAAACCCAATTCAAGCCATCCTGCACTCGCTCGATTCCCCCAACACATCAGTGCCGCTTTGTAAGTTCAGTTCAGATCAGACCTCAAATGCATGTGCAGGCTTCCACTTCACATTGCCAATTTCTTCAGTCAGATCTGAGTTCTCACCCCCCATCCATGGCGTCTTTCGAGCAAACGCTAGCAGAAACGTCAGACCGGGCAATGGCTGACGCGTCTGATCAAGAAACACCACCCCGATCCGACGCCGATCCTTTCTCTGCGTTCTCTGACAATCTGCTGGGCGCCGTGCTGCTGCGCGTGGCGTGCAACGGCGTCAGATTCGGCGGCCAGGATTCTCCTATGAGTGACGAGGACAAAGCCGATACGGAAAAGAAGATCGACAAGGCCTTAATCGAGCCGCTCCCCTCTGAGAGCGCGTGGCTCGTCGGCAATCCCGAGGCTCCTGGCGAGGCCACGATCGCTCGTTCTTCCAGCGTGAAGTGCTCGTCGTCGCTGATCTCCTTCCGCCACGCGCTCGTCTGCAAGCGCTGGTTGCGCGTCGCCCGGTTCGTGCATCCCGCCATCGTCGTTCCGCTCGACCGCTTCTTCTCCGCGCGCGCCCTCGCGTCGCTCCTCCGCGCGCCCGCCACCGCGGGGTTCCCCAACCTCCGCCACCTGCACCTCGCGCCGAACGCGCTGGACACCGTCGATTCCGCGCTCGTGCGCGCCATCTGCGCCGGATCTGGGCCGTCCTTAACGCATCTCTCACTGCAGCTGCATGACGCGTGGCTGCACGTGACGCGCGCGCGACAGTACCCTCCTCCCGGGGTCGGCACGCGGGCGGCGGAAGTGGCGGAAGCGGCGCTAGCGGCCGGGGCGATCTCGCCGGCCGATGTCGCCGCCTTGTTCTGGTCTTGCACGCGATTGGTCAGTCTTGCCGTGAACTTCGGGAAAGGGATTTCCGAGGTACCGTCGGCCGTCAGCTGCCTGCAGCAGCTCACGAAGCTCAGCATGTCCTTTCGCGAAGCCGTTATCACGTTACCGTCCGAGTTCGGCAGTTTGGTGCGACTGAAGCGGTTGCAGATCATTTCGTCTTCCCTCGTGCTGCCCGATTCCTTTAGTCAGCTGCCCGCCCTGGAGCACATCCAGTTTAGTCGCTGCGAAATTTCCCACTTGCCCAGCGGCTTCGGGCAGCTTCGAAACCTCAAGATTCTCAGTCTCCAGCGACTAGCGCAGCTCGTCGAGCTGCCCGCCTCCATCTGCCTCCTCTCTGCGCTTACCAGCCTCACCCTCTTTCAGTGTTACAAGCTCGCCAAACTGCCCAAAAACTTTCACCAGCTGGCGAATCTGCGCACCCTGCACCTAGAAGAACTGATTGCCCTCACTGCTCTTCCAGTCTCCTTAGGTCAGCTGCCCGCGCTGCGTGAGCTGAAAATTATAGACAACGGTCGCATCACGCACCTCCCGCCATCTCTGTCCGCCAGCCACACGCTCGAGCGCCTCTCGCTTCACAACTGCCTAGGGATCTCGTCACTGCCGGACGTCATCGGCCACGTCCCCACCCTAGAACGCGTCGACCTCAGCTTTCTCAACACACTCATCACTCTTCCAGACTCCCTGGGTCGCGCCTCTCGCCTCCACGAGCTTAGAATTGTCGGCTGCAGCCGCCTCGTTGGTCTCCCGCGCTCGGTTTCTGCCATGTGCTCCCTCGCTCGCCTTACTCTCGACGATTGTGCTGCGTGGGCGCTGCCCGAGGATTTCGGGCAGCTCTCGAATCTGGTGCGGCTGAAGCTGTCCTGCGAGCGACTGACTGCCCTGCCCAGGTCGTTCGGGCAGCTGGGGAAGCTGCAAGAGCTGAGGCTTCACGCCTGCTACGGGTTAGTCCAGCTGCCCGAATGTTTCGCGAATCTTTCGTCACTTGAAACCCTAGCCATCTACGGGGGAACGTTGCTCACCTCCCTGCCACCCAACTTCGAGCAGCTCCCGCAGCTGCGACACCTGGAGCTGTTCAACTGCGCCATCCCGAGACTGCCGAAGAGGTTCGGGCAGCTGCCGAAGCTGGAGGTTTTCAAGGTGGGAAGCACGGACTCTTTCACGAGAAACGACGCGGAGCCAGGGCAGCCCGCGTGGCCGCCTCCCACGGCGCTCACAGTGAGCGCGCAGGACGAATCGGCCTCAATGTTCATGCTGATGGACGACCCACTCCTACTGGACCAGCTGGATGAAACGCTCTTGGGGCGCTGCCTGCTGTTCAGTTTCCCAATGTCCTTCACCCAGCTCACCAGCCTGCAGCAGCTGGCCATCGACGGGTGTGATGCGCTGGAGGGCCTGCCTTTTGGGTTGGGTTACATGGCAGGGCTGCAAGTGCTGCGACTCAAGAACTGCCCGCAGCTGCGCTCCTTTATGTCCCTCCTGCCCTCTCCTCCTCCTACCTCCGCCTCCGCACAGGCCCCTCCTCTCCCAATGCTTCACAGCCTGGAGATCTCCAACTGCCCGAGTCTAACAAGCCTTCCACGCGGCCTCGATGCTCTGCCGAGGCTGGAGCGAGTCACCCTGGATAAGTGCAGCAAGCTGGGATTTGCGAATCAACTCTCCGCGTACCATCGCCCCTCCTCAACCCCACATGCTGCACCCATCGCCCTCCCGCCCTCCATCACCACCGTCTCCCTGCTTGACGTCTTCCCTGTAGCACGCTACCTGCCGGACTCCTTCCTCACCCTCTCACGCCTCACCCATCTCAACCTGCACCATCTCAACTCTCTACAGGCGCTCTTTGCGCCTCGCCCGCATGGCGCCCGGGCAGCAACTGCCGTTGGAGAGCTGGAGCCGGGCACTGAAGACGATCAGGTTTACGGTTTCCCGGTCAATCCTCAAGCCGGTCAGCCTGCCAGTTTGACACTCCTCTCGTCTCTGCAGCACCTGGCTATCGTGAGCACGCGCCTGCCGTTGCTGCCGAGCAATCTCAGCGACCTCAGAAGCCTCAAGGTGCTCATTCTTGAGAGGTGCATTTGCATGCCCTCCCTTCCCGACTCCCTACCTCACCTCCCCAACCTCGAAAAACTCGTTCTGAGCACCCTTCCTAGGCTGGCGCGCTTGCCCAAGAATCTCGGGCAGCTGAAAGCACTGAAGGAGCTCACAGTGGAGGCGTGTGATGCACTGACGGGGCTGCCAGCGTCCATCGGCCTCCTCTCCTCCCTCGTGCTCCTCTCCGTGATTGAATGCGACAAGTTCTCCTCTCTCCCCGACTCCATCGGCTCCCTCCCCCGCCTCGCCTCCCTCAAACTCAACTGTTGCTTCCGCCTGCGTCGCCTGCCAGAGTCCATCTCTCGCCTCCCCGCCCTCGTGATTCTCTCTCTGGAAGATTGTGAGAAGCTGCAGGCACTGCCGGATGGGCTGGCGGGTGTGGGGACTTTGAGGGAGGTGATTGTGGGAGGGTGCCTCATCACCTGCCTAGCCTCTTGTTTAAAAAGCTCTGCACTTGAAAGATACGAGTTCCACGCGTCCTACTCCATGTCTCTCCGAAGCATGCTCCCTCATTCTTCACACCCCTTGCCTCCACGCCTCTCCTCAGTCTTCCCTAGACAGTCACACTCAACTCTTCTCTCAACTCAGCTCCGTTTACATCATCAATCGCTGCCACCCTACCAGCCTATCCGCCTGCGCACAGCATCATTCTTGAGTTGACCTCCTTCTGATGGATAGAAACTTGTCAGCTTGGTCAGGGCAGTCAGTTGCTGCAGCCCATCATCCGTCACTGCCGTGCTAGTCAGGGCAAGCTCCTCAAGCCCTGTCAGCTTCCCCACATGCACCATGCCAGCATTTGTCAAACCCTTACAGCTTGAAAGCCATAGCACTTTGAGACAAGCCATGCACCCAATATCTTCTAAAGCACTATCTGCGACGTCTGCACCTATCAGGTTTAGCTTCTCCAGACGTGGCAGCCTGTAGAGGTGCTTGATGCCCTCTGCACTGAAGCCTGAGCTAGAGTACAGGTCAATCCTCGTCAGGTAAGTCATTGTGGACGCATGGGCGAGCATGGCGTCTGAGAGGCCATGAAGATTCCTCAGTTCCAGATTGGGATTCTGTGATGCTGCTTTGATTGCCTGGAGGGAATGGATGAAGAGTGAATGCATGCAAGGAAAAAACTATGACCATTATGGCATTACCAAACAGCACATACCCTGAGCAAAAGCACGCAGCGCTCACCTCCCATGCAGTCTTCCGATCGCCTGCACTCTGGCTAATTTCCAGGTCAACATTCAGCTTATTTCTGCAGGCTGCCAATTCCCCCATGGCACGTAACCAGTTCACCTGCACCTCCCTCCTCCTCTCCTCCCACTCCCTTGCCAGCTGCGCTCTCATCTCATCCGCTTCCATTCTGGCCTGGTCTCTTAGCTGTCCCAATTCCAATTCGCTTTTTCTCTCAACCATATCCAATTTCTCTGTCATAGCGACCCTGTGCCCAGCCACCTCCCCCTTCACTGCTCCAAATTCTGCTGCCAGCTCCTTCTCCCTCTCCTCCACCTGCCCTCTTACCTCCCTCATCTCCGCCACTCGCCTCCTCTCAGCCTCCTCTAACTCCCTCCTTGTCTCTTCCATCTGCACGCCAAGCGCCCTCATTCTCATCTCCATCACCTCTTTCCACTCCTGAAGTCTAGCGATACTCGCAGTGACAGCCCCAACAGCCTCAATTAAACTTTCCATCTTCCTACAAATGGCAGCACATGGGAACAGATTGCAGCACATGGGAACAATTTGCGGCACATGGGGACACACAAATGGCAGCACAAAGGAATACACGTGCTATAGGAATATGGGAGGCTAGGGAAAGCAAATGCGAGTGGGGCATTAGGAGAACGAGTAAATCAAGGAAGGAAAGCACGGGTGGATATCTGGCAGAAAGCCATCAGCTATACGGGCGAAGCATGAAAGATGTGGAGGCATATGCTGATCATGACATGACAGGGGAGGAGGGTACATGGGCATTGCGTGCATCCAGGCATCAGTTAAAAGGGTGAATACCAAAACAGGAAAGAACGTCCCACACAATCACATTGAACGATGGTGAGGTGGGCAATGCTCACACGGGGCTGTCTAGCAGAGAGAAGATTCCACGTGGCTGCAGTATGGTGAGCGATGGGGGGAGAGGAGGAGAGAGGAGGATGAGAGAGGAGAAAGGAGTGTGGGAAAGGAGTAGTGCGGAAGAGAGCCAGCAAAAGGACTGGGGAGAATGGATTCGCAGGGGGGAGAAGCTGCAGTTGTGGAGGGCAGAGAGCGCATGGCATACCAGGAGGAACGTGGTTGCACTCTTCAGCTTCATCAGCCCAGCCGTCACAGCCAAGCCCTGCTGATGCACCCATGCTCTGACTTGCGTGTGGGTCACACCCATCCCCCACAGCAGTGCAATGAGAGTGGTGATGGTAGAATAGACCACGAGCAGATGAGATGCACCTGGAGACTGCACATGTGAAAGCATGGTGTAACAGTGATGCATGGGGAAGGATACTGAGATGGCAATGCAAGGTGCAAGGTGGCAATGCAAGGAAGCAGGCAACTGAGATAGTATATCCTCACAGAATGTTGGGTTGGTGCACGGTAAGAATTCGTCGGTCATCCAAACACGCACCAGGGTGTGGAGGGAGTGACAAGGAACGTCGAGAGCGTGGGCGTGCTGAAGGGAGGTCGCATTTGCATGAGCATGAGCAGAAGGCATGCTTGTGACATTCTGACATGCAACTGTGGCATTGGACTGGAAGAAGGCAACACATCCATGCATGCAAGGAGAACACACACATGCACGCACACATACCCAGACATGCAAACATGAAACACACACAAACTCAGTGCGAGTACATCAATAGACCGCCCTGGCTTCATCCATCGGAATCAATCTAACGACAATGTGACAGAGGCAGAGGATTTGCTTACATGATTACCTGACGGAGGAGGGGGCATGAGAGGGTGGTTGACTGTCTGGTTACCGGTGCCACGCGTAAGCTGCAGGAAGCAACAAGGAATAATAGAATAGATGCATGCTCAGACTCGAGCCACGGCAAGGCAGCATCTCAACCTTGCAATGGCAGCCAACCTTGCCAGGCTGATAACTCACGCTCTTTGCGGTGGTGGCATGCCAGGCATCCCTCCCAAGTGGCAAGATGTTGATGATGGTGACGGCAGCAATGGCAACGCCAAGGACAATGCCGGCCAGCAGCCCTGGCAGCAGCATGGTCACTGCAGTCATCCGAGCCATGGCTGATGGGGCGAGCATGGGAGGAGCAACAGTAGCAGAGGACGGAGGGGAGAAGTGGCAGCAGCAGTGGAAGGAGGGGACATGTGACGGCAGGAGGGAATAAGAGTCTGGAGACGAATACAGACGTGCCCGAGTGCAGAGGGCGACCAGGCCTCCTCGCTGGATATAGATGGAGCAGATGCGTGGGACAGATGGACAGATAGATGAGACTGGTTGCGGCGAGTAAAGGATCACATGGGAGACCAAGTGATTGTCAATGCTGAAGGTAAAGACAAGGGCAGCTAAAGAGTGAAGTTGGGACAGAGAGGACAGCAAAACTGGCAACGCGAAAAGGCGATGAGGAGCGGTGATTAGAAGAACACGGTCGCCGAAGTGAAAACAAATCGTACGGGCAAGACGGGTGGACAGAGGCAAGATTCTTGAGAAAATATCTGAATGAATTCTAAGCACGACAAGTGGATGGAGCTATGTACGACACTGGAGCGCCAGCATAAGAAGGTAGCGCAAGACAGAATTGAAAATCCTTAACAAAGATTCATACCTCTTGAGATGAACGATGGATTGAATGGAGAGGACCTCAGGCGAGTGGCGAGCGGAGAACAAAAGCTGCCAGCAAAATTCCAGTCCAGCAGGAAGGAGGACAAGACGCACGAGATGCAGCTGAGCGCAGAAATACAGTGGCTTGATCTTTCGAGTGGATGATGGAGAAACTTCAAAATAATCAACTCTTATTACATCATAGAATGATCCCTAAGTAGACACATCAAGCCAGTCGTTTGCATGATTCAATCATGACATACTATGACAGTGCCAGGTAAAGCAAGAGTAGAAGAAAAACGGAACAAAAGATGGAAAGTTGGTGACAGGAACAACAAGTTGAAGAGGAGCGGATATGAAGAAGGTCATGAATGTAAAGGCAAGCTGAACTGAAACGGCTACGCGATTTGATAGGCAGTGTAGTCCATATTGAAGACAAGGGTGAGAAATTAGTAGCAGAACTCGTCGGAAGAGAGAGAGGAGACGTGGGAAGAGTGAGGCAGGAAAAAATATTTAAGAAATGTGGTGCATAAGTGGATGATCGCTTACAGTGGACTGGCCGTGCGTACCTGGCGTGTGGCAGAGGCAGGTGGCAGCACCGAGCTGCCACTTTGAAAGCAAATGGGTCGACAATGCTCCACAGCAGGGGGAGAAGAACAATAGAGGGTAAGAAGCTATGAGATAACTTGTATCGAATTCGGAGGCAGGAAAAACAGGTGAGGGAGAATCCTGATGTGGATCAGCAGGGGCGAGAAGCGGGCGCAGCAGGAGATGAACAAAAGGACAGGGGGGAGGCATCATGCCACAATCTCGCGTCGCATTCCAGCCATCATTCATCTCACTGGCGTTTGCCTCTCGCGGATCTCTCCATCCCAGTCCTTAGCCCGTCCCCTGTTGTTCAGGCATCACTGTCGCTCGTCCTCGTCCAACCCATCATCTCGCGTGCGACGAGCAGCGCGACGTCACCGCATGTCAGGCTGCACCCCAGCTCGTGTGCTGCCAACTGCCACCTGGGCAAACGCGACGTATCGGGTCGGTCGCGTCGCGAGCGCATGGAGTTTCAGTGGCGCAGCGACGCGCATTGAAACCCATCAAAGCTCCCGTTGAAGTGAATCGTGACCATAGGCAGCTAGCTCTTTTACCCCGTCGATCGCCAATGGCTGCCGGATCATATCACTCGGCGAATGACTAGACGTGGCAAACGACGAGCTGGGCGCGCGGCGGCATCGTCGTTTGCAGCCAAGGCGCGTTTGCGGGAGACTGGAACGGACATCAATTCGAATCCACCAGTCGCAGCGCTCGATGTACTAACATGCAGGAATTTCAAGACGCGTGGCTAGTGACACCTATCGGAAGTGGACGGTGACAACTGTGCTTGATGGCGCATATCTAGCTGCTGGCGAATATGACCTAATAGTAGCGACTATTAGTAGCGAGAAGCGCGGATGATTTTGTGGAGGTTTTGGGCGACAAGATATTACGATGCGAAAATCGAGCGAGAGCGTTTCGCACAACACCCGCTGTTCGCAAATCACTCAATCGAGCATTGCCGAGAAGTTTGAGCCCTGGTCCGATTCGCGAGGTACAAGAAACACTGATCACCTGTAACACAGCTGCTAAATCATTCGCCTTTCGGAAAATTCATTTTCGTCCCACGTTACCTCTCTGAATTGGGTTCAACACCTTCGTAAAGCACCAGACCTTCGAACCGGAGCACACCCCGCAATACCATTCAAGGCGGATTCCTCTGACACAATGTGGAGCGCAAGTCCTTAGGGTCAGCGTTAGTAACCCCTTAGATCTTCCGAACCCGCATCGCAATAGTCATCCCGCGGCAGTATCCCTCCGTCGTCTCGTTTTCTTTCTGTTCGTCTCTACACCTCCGTGAGAGGCTCAGCGGGAGCCTGCGTCGTGGCCTCTGCCTCACTTCTGATTCATAAAGATCCCATCATATCGAGAGAGATTCACATTTACTGCGCATTTCAGAGATCGTTTGGAGTGTCCGGAGCTCATTGTGGAGCTCGAGTGTCCAGCCTAGGCGTCATAGCCTCACGACCTTTCAATCTACGAAACCCTAGAAAAGCCTCAGGTAAGACTGGTCCTGTCATTCCATTCATTTCGCCTCTCATTCCGGCACTACCCTCATACTCCTCCTTGGCCTATGCGCTTGAGTGCGTTGATGCACCCTGCCCTCTGTTTCACTTGTCCTCAGCCCTCCTGGCCGCCTGCGTTCCACGTTCCCACTGAGCTTTTAGCGCCGAAAGGAAAAACGTAGTAAACATACTCATGCATGGAGGCGTCACGCTTCCATGCTCTTATGAGTGCAAACTGAACGCCAATCTGGTACTCACTGTCTTGTGACGTCTGAGGCAAACTGAGCATAGGCATATTCTCAGTGACGTGATGCGGGTTCCATAATCACACATCCGTGTCCACATCATGACATCTGTGCAGTGCTGTCGCAGGTCGAGAGAGCCCTTGACTCCTCATCACTACCATCTTTCCTCTGAATTTCCTGCCTGGCTTTGTACATGCACACATCGTTGAAAAAATGGTGTGTTTTCTAAGCCCGTACCTATACCGAATGCACTACTATTCCAGCAATGGCTGCGCTCAGCAACCGAGACTTCATACGCTTCAAAACCCATACCACAGCCTTCATTGAAAATGGAGATGTCATAACGAGCAAAGTTTCACATACTTAGGCATTGTCAAGAGAAGAAAGTGGTATGTGACTAGACACTGCTTTGAGTCCCGTCACACACACTTCCCTATCCTTTTGGGATCGTCGTTTGAATTGAATCTCCCACGCTTTCGATAACTATTGTTTCTTGGAAACGGTTCTTTCCTTGAGTTGCAGTTGTGAAAGTAGCAAATTGAACAAGTCATCAGATTAGAGGAACAACCTAGCATACATAGTTGGAAGGGAAGGTTGGAAGGGAAGGATGAAAGTGACCATAGGTTGGATTGACCTCACTTGGGGAAGTGAGGGAACCATAGGTCAAGTGGGTTGGGTTGCCCACACTTTGTAGAAGTGAGGCAACCCTAGGCCCACTTGGCTTGGGGTAACCTCAATTGTGGGAAGTGAGGTACCCACAAGTCAAGAGGGTTGCATTTGGGGGCTCCACCACAATTGGGTGGATTGGCACCCCAAAGTGCAAGACTACACCCAAAGTTGGGTGTAGTCCCAACCCAACTGTACACCACAATTGGTGTACAGTCACATGTGTTGGCATGCTACACAATATATATTTTAACACAACCCCTTAGCATGCTAACACAAGAAGAGAACAACCCCTGAATCAAGAGGCGCCCGGGCGAGCAAGGCCAATGAGGCGGAGGAAGGCAGAGTGCGCGGGGCGAAGGAGGGCCTTAGTGAAGATGTCGGCCAAGTTGGCCTCGGTTGCAATCTTGCGAACGGCAATGAGGCCCTTCTGGACGAGCTCGCGAACGAAGAAGTAGCGGAGTTCGATGTGCTTGGAGCGGGCGTGATAGACGGGGTCCTGAGTGAGATGGATGGTGCTGGCGTTGTCGCACCAGAGAGTGGGGCACGTCTGGGGGGCGCCAAGCTCCGCAAGAAGGAAGCAGAGCCAGCGCGACTCCTGGGCGGCCATGGTGCCAGCGTAGAGCTCGGCTTCGCAGGTGGAGAGAGAGATGGCGGAGGAGCGGGTGGAGCGCCAGCTGATGAGGCCGCTGCCAAGGGTGAAGCCGTAGCCCTGGGAGGAGCGGCGGTCCGGCTGCGTGTCAGCCCATGAGGAGTCACTGAAGCCCGAGAGAAGGGGACGGGAAGGGCCGCCGAGGGTGAGGGCAAGGTCCCTGGTCCCGCGAAGGTAGCGGAGGACCCGCTTGGCAGCTTTCCAGTGCTCCTCAGAGTGACGACCGGTGCCGACAAAGCGAGCGAGCACGCTGATGGGGTAGGCGAGGTCGGGGCGGGTGCACATCATTGCGTACATCAAGGACCCAACGAGCTCGGCATAGGGGTGGGGGGAGGAGGTGGGGGAGGTGGGTGGAGCGAGTTGGTGACCGAAGGGGAGCGGGGTGGAAACAGGCTTGGCTTGCGCCATGTCGAACTTCTCCAAGACCTGGCCGATGTAATGGGACTGGGAGAGGGTGATTGTGCGAGCAGGGCGGTTGCGCGTGATGGTCATGCCGAGGTAGTGAGTGGGGCGCCAAGGTCCTTGCACTTGAGCCGCTGCTGCAGGGACAGCTTCACCTGCTCCATGTCGGCCTTGGTGTCAGAGAGCAGGATCATGTCGTCGACATATACCAGAATGAAGAAGCGGCGGGGGGAGGAGCGGATGAAGAGGCTGGCGTCGGAGTGGGAAGCAGAGAAGCCGAGGGACCCCAAGGTGGCAGCCAGCTTCGCATGCCACTCACGTGGTGCCTGCTTCAAGCCGTAGACGGGGCGACGCAGCTGCCAGACAGTGTTCTCAGGAAAGGCTGCGTGGAACCCGGGGGGTCGCCGGAGGAAAATGCGCTCATGCAGGTCGCCCTGCAGGAACGCATTGGAGACGTCCATGGAGTCGATTTCCATGTCGTCACGTGCACCAATGTCCATGGCGGCGTGAAGGGTGGGTGGTTTGGCGGTGGGGGCGTAGGTGAACCAGTAGTCCTCAGCCCAAGTCTGCGTGAACCCCTTGGCGCAGTAGCGGGCCTTGTACACTGGTTCCTCGCCCGGCAGCTGCTTCACCCGAAAGACCCATTTGCCGTCAACGAGATTAGCGCCAGCAGGGAGGGGGACATCGACAAAGGAGTCGTTGCGAATGAAAGCCTCACACTCCAGGAAGATCGTTGCTATCCATTTATCCGCATCAGGGCAGGTGATGGCTTCCTGAAAGGTGGAGGGAGTGAAGATGGTGGGGGTAGTAGTGGCGCCAAGGACAGGAAAGCCCAGGAAGTCAAGGTAGAGGGCGGCAAGGAATGGAGTGTGCTCCCGAATGTTGAGGAACTCCTCATGGGAGTCCTCAAGGAGCTGAATGGAGGCAGGAGGAGGAGCCCCAAGGATTTTGTCCACCGAGCGGGTATGGATGTAAGGGAGGAGGAAGGGGGAGGAGCGGGAAGTGGCACGGCGCCGCTGCTGCTGCTGGTGCTGCTGCTGCTGCTGTCCCGGCTGCTGCTGATGCGGCTGCCCCGGCTGCTGCTGCTGCTGCTGCTGCTCCGGCTGCTGCTGCTGCTGCTGCTGCTGCTGCTGCTGCTGCTGCTGCTGCTGCTGCTGCTGCTGCTGCTGCTGCCCCGGCTGCTGCTGCTGCTGCTGCCCCGGCTGCTGCTGCTGCTGCCCCTGCTGCCGTTGCTGGTGTTGCTCCCGCTGCTGCTGCTGCTGCTGCTGCTGGTGCTGCTGCTGCCCCTGCTGTTGCTGATCCGGCTGCTGCTGCTGCTGCTGCCCCTGCTGTTGCTGATCCGGCTGCTGGAAAGGAGGAGAATGAGAGGAGGAGGGAGAGGGGGGAGGGGGTGCAGCTGAGTGAGCGGGGGAGGCGGGTGCGGCAGGGTCTTAGACGTCGGCAGAGGAGGAAGGCGGGAGTGGGGCGGCGACAGGTGGGAGGAGAGGCGCTGGAGGGATAAGAGGCGGGAGGATGGTGTCGGTCCAAGCGAGGGGGCGAGTGGGAGGAGGGAGGGGGTCAGGAGGAGGGGTGGAGTAGTAGGGAGTGGACTCGTCGAAGACGACGTCAATGCTGCGGATGAGGCGATTGGTGGGAGGGTGGAGGAATAGGTAGCCTGGGGAATCACGATTGTGCCCAAGGTAGACGCACTCCAGAGCGCGAGGAGCGAGCTTGCCAGCAGCGCGGGAGCGGTCGGCTGGTGGAATGAGGACGAACGCCTTGCAGCCCCAAACACGAAGGCCTGCGGCGTCAGGCTTGGCCTTGGACCAGAGTTCTGTGGGGGAGGAGGAGGGATGCTGAGGGTGGGAGCGGAGATTGAGGAAGAGGGCGGCATGAATGAGGGCATAGCTCCAGAGGGAGGGAGGGGTGGAGGCGTGAGCATTCAAGGTGCAGGGAGCGACGGTGACAAGGGCGCAGGCGGCTGTGCGAACGTGCGGCGGCGGGAAGGGGAGGCGGTGGCAAAGTCGGGGGCGGCGGCGGCGAGCAGGCCGCGACGACGAGGGGCGCAGGCGACGGCGGAAGGGCCGCGGCGGCGAAACGAGGGACAGCGGCGGCAGGCAGGCCGCGGCAACGAGGGGCGCAGGGGGAGGGGGAGGGGGGGGGAGAGGAGTAGGGAGAGGAGGAAGGGAGGGTGCAGTTGCGGCTGAATCTGCAGGCGGCGACGGGGCAGTCACGGCGGCAGGAAGTGTGGGCGGGGATGGCGCGCTCGCGGTGGAGGATGGGCAGACGGCGCCGAAGCAGTCGCGGCGGTAGGGCGGCGGCGGCGCAGTGGCGTTAACGGGAACCGCGGGGCGACGATGTTGCAGTTGCGGCGGGGGAAATTGCGGGAGGGTGGCGATGCAGAAGGGGCAGCGAGATGCGTGGGTGACGCGGAAGCAGGTGCGGCGGTGGGAGGGGAGGCGGCAATGCGAAATCGCGGCGTGGGGGGGGGGGGGGGGGGGGGGGAGGGGGTGGGGGCGGGGAGGTGACGACGAGCAGTCGCGTCGGCGGAATGCGCAGGCGGCGATGTTAGGTCGCGGCGGCGGGACGGGCAGGGGGCGACGAGCTGTCGCGGCGGCGGGACGGGCAGACGGCGCCGAAGCAGGCGCGGCGGCGGGAAGGGGAGGCGGCGACGTGACGTCGCGGCGGAGGGACGGGCAGGCGGCGACGAGGTGTCGCGGCGGCAGGATGCGCAGGCGGCGCCGTAGCAGGCGCGGCGGCGGGAACGCGGCGACGAGACGTCGCGGCGGAGGGACGGGCAGGCGGCGACGAGGCGTCGCGGCGGCAGGATGCGCAGGCGGCGCCGAAGCAGGCGCGGCGGCGGGAACGCGGCGACGAGACGTCGCGGCGGAGGGACGGGCAGGCGGCGACGAGGCGTCGCGGCGGCAGGATGCGCAGGCGGCGCCGTAGCAGGCGCGGCGGCGGGAATGTGGCGACGTGACGTCGCGGCGGAGGGACGGGCAGCGGGCAGGCGGCGACGAGGCGTCGCGGCGGCAGGATGCGCAGGCGGCGCCGAATCAGGCGCGGCGGCGAGAAGGGGAGGCGGCGACAGGGGGTCGCGGCGGGGGGGAGGAGGGGACAGCGGCGTTGCGCTCGCGGCGGTGGAATCCGCAGGCGAGGAAGGCGTTATCGCGGCGGGAGGGGGGGGGAACGGCGGCGACGGCGTAGGTCGCGGCGAGAGTATGCTAGTGATGGCTAGTTGAGCCACGCGTAGGAAAGGGTTTGTAGCTGTGGGGTGGGCCCATGGGAAAAAAAAAAAAAAACTGAAGGGAGGGAGAGGTAAGGCCTAGGAACAAGTAGCTCTATACCATGTGAAAGTAGCAAATTGAACAAGTCATCAAATTAGAGGAACAACCTAGCATACATAGTTGGAAGGGAAGGTTGGAAGGGAAGGATGAAAGTGACCATAAGTTGGATTGACCTCACTTGGGGAAGTGAGGGAACCATAGGTCAAGTGGGTTGGGTTGCCCACACTTTGTAGAAGTGAGGCAACCCTAGGCCCACTTGGCTTGGGGTAACCTCAATTGTGGGAAGTGAGGTACCCACAAGTCAAGAGGGTTGCATTTGGGGGCTCCACCACAATTGGGTGGATTGGCACCCCAAAGTGCAAGACTACACCCAAAGTTGGGTGTAGTCCCAACCCAACTGTACACCACAATTGGTGTACAGTCACATGTGTTGGCATGCTACACAATATATATTTTAACAGTAGTGGCTCACATCCCATCTATCAAGCTCCTCCCTTATGGTAAATCTCGCAATGTGTTCTCTGGTTTCACTGCTTGTATATAAACTCCCTTTGTGGAGCGGGTAGCTTATTGTTCGGGACGAGGCAAGCAACACTCGCCTCAGTTTCTGAACCCTTGCAAAATCTCACTCCGCACTACCAGAGTATCTCACTCACCCTGCCTCTCTCCCGTCCCACCTCCACATGGCCACCTGGAGACTTGCCAAGTCGCGGGGGAGGGCGAGGGGGGAGGGTGGACTCAAATTGCAAGAATAGCTTACTCAAAAATAGCTTACAGACAAGCGATACTCGCCTTGCCTCAGTCGGATAATTTGGTTGGGGCAAAGTCTCAGCCTGGACCTATTTGAGTACACATAAAAGAAGAAAGTGTTTACTCGTTCGCCAGTTTTCATGTCTGTTTGGACTGTGTGTCATTGCCTCCTGTCCTTCTTTCCATTCGTTCTTCCGTCCTGTTTACCTCCATACATGCACCTCCACCCGTTTCTGACATGCCACAGTGCCACCCACTTTGGGCATTTCGCTCCGCAGTAGCGAGGGCGCTACCCAAGCTGCAGTTATGGCTGTAGGGGAGGAGAATGCAATAGCTGAAGCAGTGAAAGAGCTGTTCAGATTGGTGAGAGAGGAGGAGTTGGCAACAGTAAAGGGGGAGCTGGCTGCAGTGAAGGGGGAACTGGCCGTGGTTAAAGATGAGGTGGCCCGGCAGAAGGAGCGAGTGGTGATGTTGGATGAGAGGAATCAGGTTTTGGAGAGTGAGGTGAATGAGTTGAGTGCATTGGGTGTTGTGGGCGAGAGGAGGGTGGCGGCTGCTGCTGTGGTGGACGAGAGCGATATGAAGTTGGCAGCACTGCTAAAGGAGTTTATTGGAGTCAAGGCAGAGCTGATTGCAACGAAAGGGGAGGTGGTAGCAGTAAAGGGGGAGCTGGCTGAACACAAGGGCGCTACGGCTGAGCAAGTGAATGTGGCTGAGAGAAGGAGAGGACTGGAATTGAGAGAGCTGAGAGGAGAGATAAGAAAGGCAGAGGCTGAAATGAGGGCGGAGTTGGCAAGGGAGAGGGAGGAGAGGAGGAGGGAGGTGCAGGAGGTTGAGAGGAGAGCAGCAGACTTGACAGAGATGAGAGGGCAGGTGGAGGAGAGGGAGAGGGAGCTGGCTGAGCAGAAGGATGTTGTCATGGAGATGGATGTTAACCAGCAAATTAGGGAGAGTGAAGGTGATCAAAAGACGGCATGGCGGGTGAGTGCCGAGTGGAATGTTTGGCAGAGCATGCACTGTTGCTGATTGAACACAAAGATGCTATTGTAGAGCAGCTGGATATGGCTGAGAGAAGAAGGGGGTTGGATCCGAGAGAGATATGGGAGGAGGTTGAAAAATACAGGATATAATGAGAGCAGCGTTGGCGAGGGAGAGGGAGGAGAGGAGGAGAGAGGTGCAGGAGTTGAATAAGCCACATTGAGTAGGGTATCAACCAGAGTGATTGCTATAAGAAGATCGCATGGGAGGTGAGTGCTGAGTGAACTGTATTACAGGGCTTGCATTGTTTGTCTTGTCGTGTGTACTTTGGCAGGGCATTTTTTGCTGTGGTTTCAGCTGCTATGGTCACAACGGTCGTTATTTTTCTTGTCATTGCCTTTTCGTCCATCACCTCCAGCGTATCAAGTCAGCATCAGAAGGAAATGATCTGAGTCTAAGAAAACTCAGCGGCCTCTCAGACGCCATGCTCGGCCACGTGTCCACCATGACCCACCTGACGAGCATTTACTTGGACTCTTGCTCAGGCTTCAGTGCAGAGGGCATCAAGCACCTCTACAGGCTGCCACGGCTGGAGGATCTATGCATACAATACGCAGACCTCTCAGGCAGTGCAATGAAAGGAATTGGGTCCTTGACCAGCCTCAAAGGCCTCTACCTTGGGTGGAGCAAGGTGACTGATGCTGGCCTGGCATGCTTGACAGGCCTTTCCTCTCTTAGAGGGCTAGGGCTTGGTAAATGCAAGGGCATAACAAATTCGGGTATGGTGCATGTGGGGAGGCTGACAGGGCTTGAGCAACTTTATCTGGGTGAGGCGGCCGTCACGGATGATGGGCTGCAGCAGCTGACTGACCTGACCAAGCTAACAACTCTTCATTTGCCAAATGGGTTTATAGTTACCCATGAGACATGCACAGGTGGATGGGCAGGTTGGGTGGCAAAGAATTTTGGAGGGAGGGAGACATGGTGAAGGCAGACTTTATCCTGACTACCCGCAGTGGTGTGGGGGCAAGGGTGTGAAGACTGAGTGGAGCACATAGAGGAGTGCGCATGTGTACAGCCCAGAGTAGCCTCATGTTACGGTATCACGTGTAAACAGGAGTGGTAGGATGCACGAGAATGAATTAACCAGTTTGAGGGTGTTGTGGTTGTTAGAATGGACTAAGCTACTAGCGAAAGCTTTAGTAGTCTTAGAACCTCCTCCTAAAGCCTAGGAATCTTAGGAGCCCACTTGGGCATGAACCATGCTAGAACCAAAGTGGTTTCCAAGAAGTGAAGTTCCAACAAGAGAGAACCTTAACCTATAGGGTTTGGGAGGTGGTCCACTCTATAGAGTGTACACCACAAGTTCTCCCAACCCAACCAATGTATTCTACACTACTATAGTGTAGATGTATCACTACATATGTTTATTGGAGCAACCCGAATTAACCTTAATTCCAACACCCTAAGCATTAAAGTTCACCCATATATCAAAACACAACCCCTCCAGCGAATGAAGCCTTGGCCTTCGCAGCCATCACTCCATGCCGATGCGCTCCAGGTTCTCATGCAGCTGCAAGCTTGGAAGAGCTTTGGTGAGCATGTCGGCATCCTGGAGGTGGGAACGTACTGAGTGCACCTCGACCTTCTGCTGGCGCACCGCATGCCACCTTAATGTGCTTGGTGCGCTGATGGAGAACGGGATTGTGGGCAAGGGATACAGCAGCCTCATTATCACAGAACAATGGAATAGCCCCCCCATCCCCCACATGCATCTCTGCCAACAAACTCCTCAACCAAATGGCCTCCTTGGCCCCCTCCGATAGAGCTTTGTACTCAGCTTCAGAAACGCTTGCTGCGACACTGTCTTGCTTTTTGCTATACCAGCTGATTGCTCCTCCTCCCAGCTTAAAGATGTAGGCAGAGCGACTCTTGCCATCAGTCTCACCACCCCAATCCGAGTCTGTGTACCCAACAACCTGCTCACCACCTTGGCGCTCATACCTGATGACACGATCAGCTGTGTCGACCAAGTACCTGAGTGCTCTCAGTGCAGCGCGCATGTGAATGCGTCTTGGTGCCACGCAGGACTGTGCAAGGGTGTTGACAGTGAAAGACATGTCAGGACGGGTGGTCACAGCAGCATACATCAAGCTGCCAATGAGACTCTGGTACACCTTGACATCAGCTCCAACACCTTCCTCAGGCGACCAAGTACCATTTCTGATCTTAGAGAGATCATTGGGTGACATTGGAGTATGCACCATATGGGTCTCCTTCAGCAGATCACCAAACCTTCCCTGGAGACCACGGACATACTTCTCCTGACCAATCTCCAACCACCCATCCTTGACTGACCTGCGAACATCCATACCAAGGTACGTGGATACCTCACCTAGATCCTTCATCTGGTACCTCTGAGCAAGCACCTCCTTGACCTGACCGATCAGCTCCAAGCGTGGAGACACAAGCAAGAGGTCATCCACATACACCAATACATACACTGGCTCTTCATCCACAAACCTGATGTACAGAGCCTTATCACATGCACTGCGATCAAACCCTGCTGCAATCAGGGTGGTACCAATCTCCTCATTCCAAGCACGAGGCGCTTGCTTGAGCCCATAGAGAGTTTTGCGCAAGCGATACACCCTACCTGTACCATCATCAAATCCCTCAGGTTGCCTCACATACACCTCCTCTTGAAGGACTGCATTGAGGTAAGCATGATCAACATCCTCCTGTTGTACATGCCACCCTTTTACCGCGGCTTCTGCAAGAAGCACCCGACCTGAGGTGAGCTTGCCCACAGGGGCAAATACCTGATCATAGTCCTTCTCGGGCTCCTGAGTGTACCCCTTAGCAACAAGGCGAACCTTGTGCTGTACCACCTTATCCTCCTTGTCAGTTTTCCTGCGGAAAACCTACCTGACCCCAATGACCTTCTTACCTGGAGGTAAGTCGACCGGCTCTGGATCCCATACACCCATAGTGCGCATTGCATTTACCTCCTTCTCAGCGCCTGCCTTCCACGCAGGGCCCTCAGGGCCACGCAGGGCCTCAGCGAGTGTGCGTGGGACATCACCGGTGCTCACACCTGCCAGTGCAACACCTTCCACTTCCCTGGCCAAACACAGCATGCCCTCAACCACACCAGCATCCCCCCCTACCTCCTCACCACCTGTACCAGACTGTATACCAAGCACCTGCAAACCCGTAACCGGTGGTGGGGAGGTAGTCGCTGATGACGGAGGGGCACCCGTAGAGAGAGGGACAGAGCGCTGACCAGAGGAGGAGGAAGAGGAAGTAGCCTGTGTAGCGGATCTCCGCTGAATGACCGAGGGGCCACTGAGCTGCTGCAGAGGGGTGGGCAGCCGCTGCACCGACACACTCAGCGGTGCCGGTGGCAGTGATGAAGGTGGCATCTCAACGTCGTCAGCCGTTGCTGAGGGTGGCGAGAGTGGAAGAGGGAGGAGTTGGGAAATAGCAGCTGCATCCTGCAGAAGCTCCCCAAATCCCTTTGCCTTGTCCCAATCCTTCCACATCACATTCTCAAGAAAATCAAGATCCCGAGCAATGCGAATGCGCATGAGAGAAGGGTCCAGCATGCGCCAACCCTTGCTCTCCATGTCCACCCCAACACAGACACACATGACAGCGCGTGCATCAAGCTTGCCACCCTTCTCATGCCCATGCAGCATGACACTCCCCATGCAACCCCAAATCCGAGCCATGCCCACATGCGGCTTCTGGCCGGACCACGCCTCCATTGGTGTGATGGAGGCAGGCAAAGCACTGTGGGTGACCCTATTCTTAACCCACACGACCCACATCAATGCTTCACCCCGCAAGCGAGCAGGGAGACCACTGTCGACCAACAATGTGCGAATCCCCTCTGCCATCGTCCTGTGCCACCTCTCCACGACCCCATTCTGCTGCGGTGTATCTGCGACGCTCAATTGAGTTTTAATGCCAAACTCCGCCTTCCATGCTTTTACAGCTTCCCCCAAGAACTCGCCACCCCTGACCGAGCGAACAGCCTTCAGCTTCCGCCCACACTCCAACTCCACGTCCTTATGCCACTGGCGAAGGACTTTTGCAACTGTGGCCGATTCCTTGTTGTGGAGGGGGAACGACCAAACTCGTCTGGTGAAGTCGTCAATGAGACTGAGGACATACACCGCTCCTCCCAGTGACGGTGTGCGCACTGGCCCCCACAAATCCATGTGGACCTCATCCAAAGGCCCAAGTGCCCGAGACGCCTCATGGGGAAACGGCTTCCGAGCCGACTTTCCCAATAAGCAAGGCTCACATGGGGAGCAATCAGTGCTCCCCCCCCCAATCTCCAAGCCCAGTACACTGTTCCCCCGAGCCATCTGTTGCAATGTTGTGGGGGCGGTATGACCAAGGCGGCGATGGGCAAGGGTCAATGGGGAAAATGAGGAGGAGGACCCAGCTGCAAGAGCACTGCCTTGTGTGCCCCGAGCAAGAGGAAGAAACATCCGCACCAATCCATGGTCCCTTCCCCTCTCCTTTTCTCCAATCGCCAACACCCGCTCCCCCCGTTTAAGGACACATTTCTTGCCCTTGAATGTGACAATGACATCTCGAGAGGTGAGGTGTGGGACTGACAGCAGACGCGTGTGCATCTCAGGCACAAGGTGGACCTTTTGAATCCTCAGCAGCTGACCTCCAGCACCAACCACTGGCACCTCACCCATGCCAACAGCTTTCACCACCCGTCCATCTCCCAATCTAACTCCCCGAACCTCTGGTGGCTGAAGCTTACTTTTGAAGTCTGACGCATAAGGAGTAAAGTTGTGGCTGGCCCCACTGTCAATCCACCACCCCTCTCGCGGCTGCTCCTCTCCCACTGCTGCAACTGCCTCTCCAACCACTGCCTCTGCCTTGTCATCCTGCTCCTCCTCATCCGCCACCTGTGCCTTGCCGTTGGACCCACGACCCCCCCGCTTTAAGAATGCCGGAATGCCTCCCTTAGGTCGATGAGGACATCGCTGCCATGCATGTCCCTCATCCCAACAGCCATG